TTCGGCATGTGAGGAATTGTCAAAATTATGGTCCCCTTTTTGGGTCCCTATTATAATACAGGGCCTAATACGGGGCCTAATTTAGGGGACCCAAAAAGGGACCATAATTTTGACAACCACACATGTCCTTAGCCTGAAGACTCGCATTTTCGTGAACTGCAATGTAGGGGTTTCTGGAAATCAGGGGTACCTTCTTGGGGGGTCCCTAAAATCAGGATCTTTCGATTTTGGAGTCTATGTTGGGTTTCTCCTATTCATAAAACTACCATGTCAAATTGCCTTAATTGAGGAATATTCCCAAAAACGTATTGGGGATCACGGCACTACTTGCTGGTTGATATTTGTAAGGGGAGGGTTGAATCCTCGTAGTAGCCATTCTACCATCCCCGATAAAAAACAGTAGCTTCCATCTTCTTTTCCAGTTCATTTTTAACTACTGACAACCAGCACGTAAACCACAACCCCTATGCCTTAAGCCCTAAACCATATACGATCCTCCCAACCCCCGGTTTCCATTAAACTTCCATTTTATTTTCCACTCCCCGAACCCTAAACTTCGGATAGTAGCTTCCCCAGTAACAACCAGACTAGACCCTGAACCCCAAAACCTGGAACCCTGAACCCTAAACTTGTAGCCCTAGGCCTGAAAGTCGAGTTTTGTAAAACTTGAAGAACCCCCTAAACCCTAAACCCTAAACCCTCGTCTCCCTTGAGCATTTGATTTTAAGGACCTTCCAGGGGTGCTCGAGGGGGTCAGGAGCTAATTGCCTCTGTTGGGTCAATCCCCCCAACCAGTAATGGGGACCACAAGGGATTATTGTAGGTATATTAAGGTCCTACTAACTCCATATTGAGGAGGTATTACTAGAGGGGGGATTGGCCTAAAGTTTATGGTTCAGGGTTTAGGGCTTACGGCTCCGAAAGGCTTTCTGCGTTGGAATCAGGGCTGCCAAGGCCCTCCAGGTGGTGTTGTACTGCAGAACCGCCAAACCGCTGCCACAAAATCTACATTCCCCGACACAACCAAGCGGGTTTCTCGAATTACAGCGCTCCCCAACATAGACCCCAAAATGCATGATACCCCTAATGCTTCGAAACTCCCATGTCGAGCCACACAAGTTATGGCCATACAAAAGATTCCCGAAGACAGTGTCAAACGTTCCAGGTGCCCTCAGGGGTAAGCTTTTCCAGCGTTTGCATCTTTCAATGGTGTGGTAGAGGCGCAGGGACAGTAGCTAAACGCTAAACCCTCTCAAACAAAAGCATCCTCAAGCCGCCTAAACCTCTAAACTCTCACATAACCTTAAACTCGCAAAACCCAAAACGGAAATCCTCCTCCTAAGTCCTACAACCTCGAATCCTAACCTGCTAAACCCCAAACCCCAGCCTCGCCAAACTCCCAAGCCCTTAGCTCAATCCTAGCCTTTGGCTAGCTGGGAATGAAGGAGTGGAAAAGAAAATGGAAACTACCATATTGGGGTCATATAGGGATTACTATACCCTAAACCCTAAACCTTTTCATGGGTTATATAAATCCTAAACCCTATAAATTAAACCCTAAACTCTTAAGTTGCTACGCGTTTGGGGTTGGGGGTTTAGGTCTTAGGGTTTGGGGTTTTAGGTTTTTGGTTTGGGTTTTAGGTCTTACAGGCTTTAGGGTTTTAGGATTTAGGTTTGGGTTTTAGGTCTTTGCGTTTAGGGTTTTAGGATTTAGGTTCGGGTTTTAGGTCCTTTTTTTTTCCGATCGTGAAATCAACGCGGAGGACTACATCGGAAAGTTCCTGGATTGCTTCCCTGCCTATCCCAAGGAGCATCGTTTCTTCATCAGGTCTGAGGATTGATGGACGTTTTGGGGGTCTAGGCTGTACTCGGATCCCAGAATATGTAAAAATCGTGGCAAGAAACTAAGAAAAGAACCAGACAGGCTAGTCTCCTACATGAACTGTAGTCTAACCTCCTGAAAGGCTGGTTATATAGGGGCATATGTAGGAGAGTATCATGATAGGGTTATTGAGGGGGATGCTAAGAGTTTAGACTATAGCTCACATAGGCTAATGTCCTATATGCTTTTGTGGTCCAGGTAGGGTGTAATTCGGGTTTGGGGCGTATGCTTTGGGATATATTCAATGAAGCGATATGCCAAGAAACCTCCATCTGTTTTTCTTCGTTCCCTGAATCCCTAAACCCTAAACCGCAGATCTCTAAACCCTACTCGTAAACTCTAAACCCTAACCGCCTGATTGGTTGGGAACGGAGTAACTTGTTGAACTGATGGCCACACGGTTTAGGTTTTAGCGGTTTGGGGGTTTAGGGTTCGGGGGTTTAGGGTTCAGGGGTTTAGTGTTCGGGGTCTAGGGGTTTAGGGTTTAGGGCTCATAGGGATTACTGAAGGGATCCCTTTCACAGGTCCCAACAAAGCATGAATACGCTTTGATGCTTCTACCCTACTGGCCTAAGGAGAACCAGCTGTTCTGGGCTCCCACAGGAAGCCTGACACATTTGTCAGGCTCTGGCTCTTCGTTCATGATGTTTGCCGTGCTGAGGGTTGAGGGAGTTCCTAGTCCCAAAGCCCGAAACCCAAAACCCTAAACCCCTAAAGCCAAAACCCTAAACCCCGGGCCCAGGGTTTGGAGCTTAAGGTCGAGGATTAATTAGATGTATTACTATTGGTATGAGGCTTGTTGGGCAAGGCCTCGCTGGAGCCTGCTTTCTTGCAGAAAGCTTCTTTGAACAACTCTACACAGTCCCCTCTTTAAGGTAACCGCTACATGGGTTTCGGGTTTAGGGTCTAAACTCCTTCAAGGGGGCTATATAGGGGCTTCTATTATACAGGAGACTACAACAAGGGTTACAAAGGGGGATCCTGGGAGTTTTCACTATGGCTCACATGGGTTGTTCTAAAGGTCCTTGTTTAGGTTCGACCGTTGGGAATACAGTTCCTCAAAAGCGGATCCGACCCAAACAGGGAACATACATCGGGAGAGGCATTTTGCACAACTGCTACATATAGATCCCAAGCGCACCACTTTTTGTTGAGCATCCTACCCAGGAGAACTGCGTCTTCTCGCGCATCGGCGTGAATCAGAACACCTTCTGCCCAAAGGGCACATCGGTGGGAAGTGACCTTGTCAAGCATGCTCGCGATGAGGACGGGGTCGCTGAAGTCTCAAGCCTTACTCTATATACTGGACTACTACGGGGACTAGTCAGGGGGATACTACGGGTGTAGACTACAACTCATATGAGGGTTACATGGAACTATGTACGGATTGCTGCTGTCATGAGTCTTGTTATGGTTCCTGCAAAGCCAATGCCACCATCACAGCCGCAAACATCTCTTCTGAAGGGACTTCAATGCGAACCCCAAAGCAGGGAACTCCAAGAATATATTAGGAATATAGAATGAATACACCCGCAAGGGTTGTCAAATTCCTATTCTATTGCTACTATATTGTTGGGGTTCCCTGTTTGGGGTTCCCACTTCAGTCCAATTAGCCACACAGATCTTTTCTTTTCAAGGGTATATCGGATCGGGTTGTGCAAGGTTTTAATAGGCTATGGGTTGGCCTAAACCCTAAAACCTAAAGCTTTCCGAGCAGTCGCTTTCATCTCGGGGTCCTGTGGACAGGGACTAGCCATTGCGGCTTAGCGTTTAGGTTTTAGCGTCTAGGGTTTAGGTTTGACATGTATAATATTAAAGCCCCCCCACCCCCCCTAATACTCAATACTCCAATTGTGGTAGATCATATTTCATTGGGAATATTAGGTGGGGGGCATAAGAGACGGACCCAGATCCTTGGAAACAAGCAAATCTGTGCAATTGAACGGCCTTACCCGACCGCACATCAAATGGTGACATGCATAGACGCTAGGCTCAAATTCACTTAGTTTGGGGCTTCGAAATTATTACAAACCCTAAGCCCCCCCCAAACCCCAGAACCCAAAACCCTAAAACTTTCAGCCTGAGCATTCTCGCAGGACAAGGACAAGGTCGCAGCGATGAATCTTTGGAGCCGGTGAGTATTTTTTGATTCCTTTGTGCAGCCTGATCATACTTAGGGTTTTTGGTTTCGGGCTTAGGGCGCCTCAGTAGACTTTATTTATCATACCAGAATATGGGGAAAGTTGTGATTAGGGGGTGGGGGTGTGCTACTGTGGGAGAAGATCATTCACCTTGGGACCCGTGCAAAGGTTCAGTGCCTGGTCCTTGGCCAAAACGTACTCGCACCTGACCTTCCACCCCTTTAGTTCAAAAGAAATTGCTGGTTTAGGGTTCAGGGTTTAGGGTTTAGGAATCGCTTAGGGGCCATGGAGACTTTAGGCCACTTTGGTTCTGCCAAGAGCATCCCCTTGTCTTCCCCAGCCATGTAAAAGTGAAAGCGAGGAAGCGCCTGGTGCAGTAGTAAATAGGTTACCAATGGCATATATTCTTTTTTTTTTAATGTGGATGTTGGGGTTGTTAACCTACTGACTTAGGAAGCCCCTTCCAAAAAGGCAGGCACCTCAATGCAGATTTCAAAACGGGAAGCCCCCAACTGGTGGTTAGTAGGGAATAAGGGAAGGGAATCCCTATATAACTCTTATAGAAAATATTCCCTCATTTCCTACTACCCCCAAGCCCTAAACCCTAAACATTAACCCTAAACCCTAAATCCTACACCCTTTCCTTACTCCTTACTACCCCCCAGTGTGACTAAGGAAGCGCCTGGTGACTTTCGTGGGCAAGTTTGCGGATTGGAAGCGACTGGATGCCGTGCTCTATGCTGCGCAGGAACTCCTGGGCGTGAGCCGTTTTTCGGTTTTGGGTTTAGGGGTTCAGTGTCTATGGGTTTAGGTTTGAAGGTTTAGGGTTCAGGGTTCTAGGCTTTAGGGTTTTACTACGAGGTTCTATATAGTGGTAATGGTAATAGCAGAGAAAAGTAGTAGGAATAGTAACAGAAAGTGTAATAGTAAGAGTAAGAGTGAGGGTATTAGTAACAGTCAATTTTTTTTGCTTATCTTTAATCCCTATATCATCCCCCAACAGCCACGGAAAGGTGGTTGCTACAGTTCCCCTAACCTACCCTAGCCTTGCTGATTCAGAAGTTCAGGAGATTTTTTCGAGTCCCAGAGCCACGAGTCTGTTCTTAAGGGTGTCGGGCTTAGGGCTTAGGGTTTATGGCTTAGGGTTTGGGGCTTAGGGTTTTAGGCTCAGGGTTCCGTAGGGTTGCACAGGACCTCACAACCCCCTAACAAAAACTCCAAAAACAAATCCCCCAAACCGGAATATCTGAATATCGTGCCCTCTAGAATGCATGTATAATATATGCTAAACCCTAAGCCCTAAATCCTAAGCCCTACACCCTGAACCCTAAGCCCTAAACCCTAAACCCTAAGCCCCGAACTCTACACCCTAAGCCCTAAGTCCCACAGGAGTACGAGGCCAAGTATCCCGACCTGGGCACTGCCATTGTGGGGACAGGTCCGCCTGAGGCGATTGAGACACCGGGCCAGTTGGTGGTTTTAGGGCTTAGGGCTTAGGGGTTTGGGTTTAGGATTTAAGGTTTAGGGCTTAGGGTATGAGGTTTAGGATTTAGGGTTTCGGGCTTAGAATGTAGGGTTGAGGGCTTAGGGTTTAGGGTTTAGGGTTGAGCATGTAATAGTTGAAGTTTATTTGAGGTACTCTATATTTTAGGTATATAAAGAACCAGAACATAGACCATAGCATTGGTAATTCCCTTGGCTTCTACATCACAGCTCGGCTTAGGGAGTTCGGGGCTGAGGGTCTAGGTTTTAAGTGTTCAAGATTTGGGTGTTTGCGGCTTGGGCTTAAAGGTTTCAGGGTGTAAGGCTAGCCCTTGGTAAACCCAACCGCCGCATAAAATCTGACCCTCAAGCAGCCATGCGATGGTCGGAGGCTTCTCATTCGGCGGGTTGGAGTTGATGAAAAGCCCAAGCAGTTGATGGTTAAGGGTTTAGAGTTGACGAAACGCCCAGAACTCTTGATTGGCTAATGGCACGGGGGTTGTGGGATTCAGGTGCCAGGGTTCTTGGCTGAGAGTGTGGGGCTGAGGTTTTGGGGATCTGGGTCCCAGAGTTGAGGGTGAGGGTTTAGAGTATAGAGTTTAGGGTTTAGGGGTTCAGGGTTTAGAGTTTAGAGTTTAGGGTTTAGGCTGGGTTTTGGGCTACAACCAATCTCGGGGAGTATGTTCGCATGCGAATAAGCCCGGCCCCTGCCATACCAAGGGATGAGGTTGTTTTTCCAATGTTCTCTTCTCAAACATCCAGGGAGGGGGCCTAAGGGAAAGCAAGCTCCTCCCTAAACCCTGAAACACCCGAAACCCAACCCGAAAGCGCCCAAGTCCTTTGCCCTGAGCTCTCGGCTGTTCCCTGGCCTATACACTGTGCTACCCCAAACCAACAGGAAGACCAACAGAGCCCTTTTGCAAGGATTGGCAGTGTTTGCATGGCTTTCCTTGGGGTTCAACTTTTTTGGGTAGAGTATGTAGAGAGCCCCTGGATCTTGCAGCTCCTACCCCAAGACAAATCACTCCTTGCAGTTCTGGGTTGCCTTTAAGGAACTTGAATTAAGTTACTATATTGGGGAAACCCTATTATGTACTATGCATGCCCATTATGGTAACTTAATTGAAGTTCCTTAACAGCAACCCAAAGTTTTGCTGGAAGTCACAGGAGTTGTTTACCTGGCTTTTAACCCTTTCAAACGGTCCTGCCATGGGCCTGTGTTCTGCAGCATACCCTTTCAGCTTGTATATAATTCCCCTCTACTTAATTTACCTTTACTATCATATTAGTTACTATAACCCTAAACCCTACACATACCCATGATGGTTACTGAAATACCATCATATTAGTAACCCTAAACCCTACACATACCCATTATGGTTACTGAAATATTTCACTTTTTTTTAGCAGCGGAACACAGCAACAAGGAAGTACGAGGGCCTTGCCAAAAGTCTCGGCCTTCAGCGATCCATCTTCCTGGGACCGAAGGGTATCTTGGCAAAGCAGGAGTTATAGTCCCCCTTAAGTAGATAGAATATGGCTTTGTGTATATTACAATAAGATCCCAATATATCCCATATTCTATCTACTTAAGGGGGATTGTACCCCTCTGGGTTGCAGTTGTGGACCTTAAAATTCGGCTACCATAATGGGTATATGTAGTAAGTAAAAGTAGTAACTTACATTAAGTTCCTTCACAGCAACCCAGCCTTTGATACCAAAACTCCTGCAGGACCCCTAAGTACCTCAGACCTTTGGAATTATTGGGGTTCTAGAGTTTAGGGTTTAGGGTTTAGTTTGGGGTTACGGGGTTCTAGGCCGAAGTTTTGGGTATCAAGCGTGCATCTGTCTTGCTGGGTTAAGGGCATCTGGCTTCCAACTCAGAGCCTTCAGTTGAGGATTCAGTTGGGTAGTATTTTATTTCGGGATACAATGGTACTCCAATAGAGTTTAGGGTTTAGGGTTCAGGGTTATTTGGGGATACTACGGTACCCATTATAGAGTAAGATTATATTATCCTTTTGATGTATAGTATTGTATATAAGGAATATTATCTTACTGGGTTCAACCACACACTACTCAGTTGAGCTGCTGTCAATATTAGGGTTACCAAGGGACCCTTAAGGATGAACCTAGGGGTAGCTTCGGTAGTTTCATATAGTTCCTAACATGTTGTATAGTTCGAATGGGCTGGGGTATGGTTTTTTGGACATCTTTGTTCGAACCCATGTCCAACGAATTTTCTGTGAAATATGAGTGTAGCTCGCTTGGGTAGGCACAGGCTTCGCTGTTGACAGGATGCCTATGTAGTGTCGGCTTGCTGCGGCTTCTAAGGTAATGAGCAATTCGGTAGCTCCAACCTCCAAAGTTAGGGCCCAAGAGCTATCATGCGACTATTGCATAATAGGGTCTGAACTGCGAAGGTTGGAGTTACCAAAATCCCCTTGGCATAAGTATTGGGAGCGCCATATTTTTTTATCTACATAAGGGGGATTATAGGATTTGGGCAAGCCCTTCTCTCTGAATTAGCAATCACAGACACCCATTGTCCAGGCCAGGATGTGCTAGCAGAGCTCTTCTCGATGTCTGAGGTGGGTATGTTCCCATCTTACAAGGAGCCCCGCACACTCGGGCTGGGGTTAAGGGTTTAGGGTTTAGGGGCTTAAGTTGGAGGGATATGGAAAAACTAGCGTGCCACCTTCTAAGCATGAAAAATGCAGGCTGCATAATTCCCCACCGAAACTTTAAACTTGAAACCCTATAGTCCCCCTAAGTAGATAGAATATGGGGTTTGGGGCTTTCTTATACTATACCCAAAAGCCTGTTCTATCTACTTAAGGGGGACTCTAACCTCTTCACTTCCCCACACGGCAAGTCGAGGTAGCACAGTAAGGCCAAAGAAGCTTAAACCTTGGAGCCTTTGGAGCCTTTGGGAGTTTGGGGCTTGGGTTGGGGGCTTTGTGTCAAGGATTTGGGCTTACTCTAATATGATATAACAGGGTGGTATATATGGGGACAATGCAAAAGAAAATGGAAGCTACTATATTATACTGTGTTCAGGATTTGGGCTTATGTTTCGGGTTTGGTTTAAAGGCAAGGTTTAGGGTTCGGATTTTGCAGTTAGGCGCAGGGTTTACGGTTTCTGAGATTGTGGTTCCGTGTAAGTCGTGATTGCCAGAATGAGGGGGTCTTTGTGGGGGCATCCTGTAAGCAACATGCCAAGTGGGGCACCCTTATTTCGATCAAACTTCTATTCTGTCCAGAATCTCAAGGTTTTGGGGTGTACCATGAGGTATAGCCTTGCTTTGCGCGCTGGCACCTGTTTGATGCTTCCATTCGGCGATTGCTCGGCGACGCCATAGCTGATGCAGTAGGATGAACATGCTATAATTCTTGTTGGAGTCGGAGTTTTTCAAAACAGTTTTGACAAGGGCCAGCATATACTCCGCGTGCCTCCACCCAAACCTTCAACCAGAACAAAGGGCCCTTACTGCTTCAGCGAGGGTTTCAAGCTTATGTGCAACTGTCAGGGCTGGCCATTGTTAGGAGATGAGTTTAGGGTTCAGGCTTCGGGGGCACGCGTTAGATACAGGAGGAATGTCAGGGTCGTTTTAACATACCCCGGCCTGAGCTGTCTCAGAAGGAACTAGCTAATTTTTCTGTTCTGAGTTTTGTATACAAAGTTGAGTAGTAATATTCCCAATAAGGAACCAGCTGTGCATATTTATTGTAATATGATTTCATGATATACACATATCACAGAAAATCTGCAACATGAAGCCCTAAGCCCCAAACCCTGAACCCTAAGCCCCAAACCCTTAACCCTACACCCCAAACCCTTAACCTTAAAACCCCAAACCCGAAACCCCAAACCCTCTTTAAATGAGGAGCCCTTTGGGATGTCCC